TAACCCCCAATTTTAGAGCTGGGAAAACTGAGGAACAGGGAGGTGTCTTTGCTCACAGCACACATCAAGTCAGTGGAAGAGTTCTAAAGAGGAACCAGGAGTCGCCTGCTCTAACCATTAGACCACACTCCCTTCAAGAGCTGAGCATAGGATCCAGGAGTCCTGGCGCCCAGCCCCGTGCACTGAACAGGAGAGATCTCTTCCAGTGCAATTTATTGTCAACACGGAATGGCAAGCAACTCTGCCACAATCCCATTTCCGCCCACTCCTATGCATTCCCTCTGCAACACCCTGGGGGAGGAGCCGGAGGCAGCAGCCGCCCGCTCTTTAGACGTGTTTTGGAAGAAAAACAGCAAGGAGCTCAGGCTTAGGAGCAGCAGTGAAATATCTGTGGTGAACATTTCAACAGCAGAACTGTCTGCTTCCCCACCCCAGCATCACAGGAATAACAGAGCATCCCCTGGGGGTCACCAGGGTAAGCACCCAGGCAGGGGAAGCCAGTTCATGCAGAATCCAGAGGGCCTCACCTATGCCCTTTGTTAGCCATAGGCACATAGGATTTACCATGCCATGCAGAGGCCACTACCTGATGGTTCAGAAGGTGGCCCTGCCCATAATGCACTGGGGCAATTGTGCAGCCCTGTGTTTGGCATGTAGGTAGGTGAGATGGGGCACACATGTTCGCTCCTCATCCCTGCTGTGGCCTGATGAGGCCATCCAGCCCTGGGTCTACACCTGGGCCCAAAGGGACGTGACCCTGCTGAAGTGGGCACAGGGGAGTTCTGTCTGTGGTAGAAGTGATCTCCTGGCCCTTCATGAGAATGCCCCGGGAGGTGTAAGTGTAACAGCCCTGGCCCTGACACTAGTCCCTGCTGCAGCTGGAAGGCAGCTTGAGCTGGGGTGGGGGCTCAGAAATGGCCCGAAGGGGGCAGCGGAGAGGCAGTTAGAGAAGGAGGAGGCAGAAGGAGGCAGCGCTGGTCGAAAAGGGGATTGGCTGAGGAAGCTGGACCATGAAGCGCCGGGTGCAAGGAGCTCATCACGAGGGGCACAGAGCTCTGCCCAGTGGGGTTGCCCGTTGGGGCACTGATAGCGGGAGATGGTTTGGGCGCCTGGGGCTGGCTCTCGTGGGTGGACCAGCTGGAAAGAGGCGCGGGCGTCACAGTGTTGAAGCCAGGAGCATCGCATGCCGGAGAGAGGGGAAGGCAGGACAGCTGGGGTGAAGCTGAGCGCAGCCAGGCAGAGGAGAAGTTGATTCCTCTTGGGGTGACAGCCAGGTGCTGAAAAACTTCGTTTCTGGTGATGGTAATTTACAGTTTATTGCCCTCGTAAGCGAGTATTTGATGTTACTCTATATTATTTATTGTGTACTATCCATCTATTCTTTCTATTCTGTTATTAGTTCTGACATATTTCTGGATTTTTCTTGTATAAAGTTGACAATGTTAAGGTTCTCTCCATTGTGTTGGTTTGCCCCTGCCTCTGCTCATGGTGGGCATAGGCTAGTCGAGGCTCGGGGCACCAGTCAATCCACCCTCTCCCACCACTCTCAATCAGCACTGTCACTGCCCCAGGGCTCTGGTCACCAAAGGGGCTGCCGTAAGAAGGGGGTCCCATGAGCAAAGACAAGCCCCTAGCTCCAGTTCTGCCCCTCTCTCTGATCCAGCATCCCTGTCGGCGTGGAGCTTATCCCTGGCTCCTAGCCATGCTTCTGGGGAGCAAATACTTCTTCCACCCCATGTTCTCTTCTCGTTCCCTGCCTCGACTCCAACAGGCTCCCTCCACGGGCTCTCTTGCTGCTGGGGGTCACGCCATTGCAATGCTAGTTCCTCCCATGGGGAATCTCCCACAGCACCAACCACCTGAGGGCACATCAGGAAACAGCAAGGCTGCCAACACTCCCCCATTATATTAGAAGTCCCTTATTTACATAAAACATTGCCTGTCTCCTACTCAGTCAGCACGGGCCCTCTTATATCCCATGTAATGCCCTAGTGCATGGGATCACTGCACCACTCAAACTTGGCCTGGTCACCCCCCATCCCGGTCATGGCAGAGGCTCTCACTTAGCGCCCGACATCCATGTGGAACTTGAACAGGAGCTGCAGCGGCTTCCTGGCCCAGCGCCTGAGGCCCTGGGTTCTCTGCAGTGCCCCAGGCTGGGAAGAGCGAATCCCGAGGAAGGACGGTGCAGGGAAGGGACTCACCCCCCCGAGGCTCCAATCAAGAGTGGGGCCATCTCAGGTCTGTCCCCCTATTTGAAATACACTGTGGGCCACCGCAGGAAGTGGAAGCAGGTGCAGAGTCTCCAAAGGGTTAACCTTCATGCCAGGGCGCTGCAGATCTTGATCCACTAATTGCACCCACCGAAAATGCACTGGGGCTAACCCAGGCACTGGGCAACCCCCGCGAGGAGGCAGATAGGGCGCTAGAGGCAATCACGGCCAGCACACGAGGGGAACGTTGCCCCTTAGCCACCGAGCCAAACACTCAAGCTGCGTCATAGCCAGCATAGGGCCAGCCCACCCCCTCCATCCCCAGAGGGATCTTCCAAAGCCCCCTTCTCAATGGCCAGGAGTGTCTCTGGACACTGCTGTTCTGCAGTGTTAAACAGAGAGTCAAAGGTGGAAGCTTGGCGCCCTCTTGTGGTTAGAGCTGAGGAGCTTCTTTAAAAGTTCCTTTTTTCAAACCTGCCTTCACTGCCAGGCCCTTGGGAAACTAATTCCAGCCTGTACAGTCTGGGGTCCGCGGGCACTGGCTCACCCAGGCTGGCTTTCCAGGGAGCTGGCCTTAGAAAGCCCACCCCTGCTGCTCCTTCCCTTTGCACCCTCACCCTTCACATTTCCACCTTGAAATCAGCCTGATGATAGCCCTTGAGATGGGTGTGTATCCACCTAGCAGGTACAACCTGGCCAGAGGCAGGGCATACTTCCCACACTCTGCCACCCCAGCATGACCCACAGGGAACCCTTCCGGCGGTAAGAGGAGGGCTGAGTCTCCACGGCCCAGCTGTTCACTGGCCGCTCCAAGCAGAGTAACAGCAAAGAGGGCATTGTGATGGTGAAGGCCAAGAGTGGGGCTAGGGAGGTAGATGGAATTAGCCTGCTTGGAATGTGGGCAGGTGCCGGAGGTTAATAAACCCTCCCCCGCCACCACCTCCATCATTCATGTCCCAGGATTTTCATTCCCACTGGAGGTCTGGCCCTTGGTTTTGCATTTCACCTGCAACTGGCCCCTCCAGCAGCGCGGCCCCGAACAACACGCTGGGTCTTTCATTCAGTACTGGCTCCAAGGGATGAATGTAGCCAGCTGCCCTTTACTGCAGCTCCTTGGGGCGGGGGGGGGGGGGTAAACTAAGTCACCCCACTATGAGGGACCCCGGATTTGCTAGAGCCTGACAGTGGTTTCTTCTTTCCACACCATGGCATGTTCTAGTGTAGACAAGGTGCTGGTGTTTTGTTACTTGTTGTAAGTCTAGAGGCCATGGTGCAAAACTTGGAAAGAAAACTGGAAGAGGTAACGCAGGTTAGACAAGGCCTAAGGCACTCTGCTACTGCAGGGATCAGCAGCGTATGCAGGCACAGCTAGGCCAGACTCCCAGTGTATTTAGCTTGGCAGCCCTGCCAGCCTTACATTGGCCTCCGTGTTCTTAGCCTTCCTTCTGGGTGAAAATCAACCCAGCGCAGAAGCCAGCCCAAGATATGAGCAGCTCTTGAGTTCCCACTTACACTGTTCATTAGTAGCTCACCGTTTCCTTGCATGCCCCTGTCTGTCTGTACCCATCTGTTGTCTCAGGCCTGCTTCTTAGATTGGAAAGTCTTTGGGGCAGTGACCAGCTTTTTGTTCTAGATTTATACAGCGCCTAGCACAATGGTGGGCTTGGTCCACACCTAGGTGCTAGCTCAATACAAATAAATAAAATAATGAATGTAAGTGCTCCAAACCAGTTTTAAATGGGGCTCGGTGCCTAGCCTCTCAGCACGGGGTGAATATCAACCGCACTAAAAGCGCTTAGGTCCAATTTTTCAACAGAAAATGAAAACCAAAGGGCCAAGGGAGCTCTTTTTGGAGATTTCAGACTTTGAAAGTTTATTCAATTTTTTTACAGCTATTTAATGGCATAAAATCTGACAATGGTACAGACACAGAGCCCCTCACCGCTTGCTCCTTGCCAACGATTCTTTTCGGCCGACTGGGCAAGGTGTGCTGAGCAGCCCAGCAGCAGGTGCCCGGTTCCACAGACCAGAACGGGGAAACCGAACAGGGGAGGGAATGAGGTGGGGGAGGAATTCCATGCCGCACTCCAGCAACAGCCTGAAGATAAGACGAAAAAGCTTCCGATCGGGTGTCAGCCGCACAGAAATCACACACAGCAGAAACGCAAATGCTCTAAGATGCACCCAACTCCACCTCCCAGAGATGTCGTATAAAGATCCTCAGCTCAGATCCTCAGCTGGTGTAAACCGGCACAGTGTAACTTCAGTGGCGTGGATTTGCACCAGCTGAGGAGCTGACCTGAGGACGACGCTCTGGAAGCTCTGCCCAGGGCTGGAGGACAGGGGTTACTGTGTTCATTGGGCCACCTTTTTGGGGCTGTGCTGTGGGGAGGCATTTGCCCCTCTCAGCTTCACACCTCTATTCTTGCGTACCCTGTAGGCAGCTGCTGCCCACATCCCCTCCTTCAAGGGCCCCCTCTCGTCTTCTTTGCCCCCCTCCACACTGCTCGCCTCACTTCCAACCTCTTCCCATTGCCCTGGGTTTGGTCTGCATTCCAGCATGAGCTCTTGGGGGCAGGCGCCATGCCCTTGGTATACATCCTCTGTCATGCCCCCAGCCTCTGTACACGTGTTCATTAGCCAGACTATAGTCCCTAGCTGCGAATCAAGTAGAAAACATGAGCTCCGGGAGACTGGCCCAGGGTAGGAAGTCATCCTGCACCCTCGAGGGGATGAAAGGCCTCCAGAGTACACTGCTCCATAGACACACGCCAGGAGGGACACATTGGGGGTGTGCTGGGTAACACATGCAGAGGTGCTGGCTGCCCACTCGGGCCCTACAATGGAAGGGCAGCTCAAGCCTGGGGGTAGACCCTTTCCAGTTGGTGTCTAACCATTCATCTGCTCTCAGTGGAACATAGAAAATTGGCAGCCCCTCCCCGGGGCCTTCACGAGAGCCACTCCACCCAGAGAGCCAGCTTCTCGGCTGGTGTAAAGCCGTGCAATGCCACTAAGCTGCTAGAGTCAGCAACGCTCCATTGAAAGCAATGCAGCGGTGCTGATTTACACCAGCCAGTGAGTGCCAGGGGGCCACTGTTGCACAAAGGGAACCCATCACGCTCAGAGAGCAAATTAACCCCAGGCGGCATTGGCCTCTCCGCTGAGCTGGAGCCATCTCACCATCCCTTTGGCTGGCCGGGCATGAAAGTTCTCCAGTGGGGAGGGAAGGAATCGCATCTGGAGCCCACTTGCCAACTCTCCACTGCCCTCCTCAAGCTGATTTCACATACAAGTAGCCTGGTAGGGAGAGGTCCTGCCCACGCACAACGCCCACCAGCACTCTCAGGGATGCTACAGCACCTGCCCCAGGCACAGCAAGTGACTGCCGCCCCCCCCTCCCAAGATTTGTAACTTGAGAGCCAGCCTGATTTGCTTCTCCAGCAATGGGAAGGGAGTGGGGAGCCCCTCATCACCTGATTTCCCTCTTCGGCCACAGAATCAGGCTGGGAGTGGGGGGGAAGCTTGCCAGTCACTCCTTCTGGTAACGGATATGGAGGCAACTCACTGTCTACTCTTCCACTCTAGCCATAGGCTGGAAGGGAAGAGGGCAGAAAGGAACAGGGGCCAGTTCACCCTCCAAGCCAGCAATGGCATCAGCTTGCTTTGAAACATCAGGCCCCAAATCCCTGGTCTTGTTTGCTCAGCTGCTATTTCAGATTGCTTCGGTACTTTTCTAGGTCAGTGCAGGCAGCTGAAATCCAACCTGGGATTTGGCTACCTTATCACTTTCCAGTGGTTAAGAAATAGCACAGGATCCCATAGCAGCTGAGCACCAAAACAGACCTAGCCTGTTGGATCTCTGCTCCTGCACGTGTGCAAAGGGGAACGTGGGCAGAGGCCCTGGCTGATTATGAACATGCGCCCCCATGATCCAGCCAACAACCTGTGAGGTTTATCCTCAGTGCAACATAAAAAGCTCTTAAATGCAGTTAACCAGGATGGTACCTGGTTGGCCTTTCAGCAAGTTTTCAAAGTTTTCAAAGAGATGTTAAGAGTAACAAGAAGGGTTTCTTCAGGTATGTTGGCAACAAGAAGAAAGCCAAGGAAAGTGTGGGCCCCTTACTGAATGAGGGAAGCAACCTAGTGACAGAGGATGTGCAAAAAGCTAATGTACTCAATGCTTTTTTTGCCTCTGTCTTCACGAATGAGGTCAGCTCCCAGACTGCTATGCTGGGCAACACAGCATGGGGAGTAGGTGGCCAGCCCTCTGTGGAGAAAGAAGTGGTTTGGGACTATTTAGAAAAGCTGGACGTGCACAAGTCCATGGGGCCGGATGCGTTGCATCCGAGAGTGCTAAAGGAGTTGGCGGCTGTGATTGCAGAGCCATTGGCCATTATCTTTGAAAACTCATGGCGATCGGGGGAAGTCCCGGACGACTGGAAAAAGGCTAATGTAGTGCCCATCTTTAAAAAAGGGAAGAAGGAGGATCCTGGGAACTACCGGCCAGTCAGCCTCACCTCAGTCCCCGGAAAAATCATGGAGCAGGTCCTCAAGGAATCAATCCTGAAGCACTTACACGAGAGGAAAGAGATCAGGAACAGTCAGCATGGATTCACCAAGGGAAGGTCATGCCTGACTAATCTAATCGCCTTCTATGATGAGATTACTGGTTCTGTGGATGAAGGGAAAGCAGTGGATGTATTGTTTCTTGACTTTAGCAAAGCTTTTGACACGGTCTCCCACAGTATTCTTGTCAGCAAGTTAAGGAAGTATGGGCTGGATGAATGCACTATAAGGTGGGTAGAAAGTTGGCTAGATTGTCAGGCTCAACAGGTAGTGATCAATGGCTCCATGTCTAGATGGCAGCCGGTATCAAGTGGAGTGCCCCAAGGGTCGGTCCTGGGGCCGGTTTTGTTCAATATCTTCATAAATGATCTGGAGGATGGTGTGGATTGCACTCTCAGCAAATTTGCGGATGATACTAAACTAGGAGGAGTGGTAGATACGGTGGCAGGTAGGGATAGGATACAGAAGGACCTAGACAAATTGGAGGATTGGGCCAAAAGAAATCTGATGAAGTTCAACAAGGATAAGTGCAGGGTCCTGCACTTAGGACAGAAGAATCCAATGCACCGCTACAGACTAGGGACCGAATGGCTAAGCAGCAGTTCTGCGGAAAAGGACCTAGGGGTGACAGTGGACGAGAAGCTGGATATGAGTCAACAGTGTGCCGTTGTTGCCAAGAAGGCCAATGGCATTTTGGGGTGTATAAGTAGGGGCATTGCCAGCAGATCGAGGGACGTGATCGTTCCCCTCTATTCAACATTGGTGAGGCCTCATCTGGAGTACTGTGTCCGGTTTTGGGCCCCACACTACAAGAAGGATGTGGAAAAATTGGAGAGAGTCCAGCGAAAGGCAACAAAAATGATTAGGGGTCTGAAACACATGACTTATGAGGAGAGGCTGAGGGAACTGGGATTGTTTAGTCTGCAGAAGAGAAGAATGAGGGGGGATTTGATAGCTGCTTTCAACTACCTGAGAGGTGGTTCCAGAGAGGATGGTTCTAGACTAGTCTCAGTGGTAGAAGAGGACAGAACAAGGAGTAATGGTCTCAAGTTGCAGTGGGGGAGGTTTAGGTTGGATATTAGGAAAACCTTTTTCACTAGGAGGGTGGTGAAACACTGGAATGCGTTACCTAGGGAGATGGTAGAATCTCCTTCCTTAGAAGTTTTTAAGGTCAAGCTTGACAAAGCCCTGGCTGGGATGATTTAATTGGGGATTGGTCCTGCTTTGAGCAGGGGGTTGGACTAGATGACTTCCTGAGGTCCCTTCCAACCCTGATATTCTATGATTCTATGATTCTGGTAACAAGGAAGGGAAAAATCCCTGAAGAACCATAGCAAAACCTTCACTCAAGTTCATCCTCCGAAGGTATAAAATGGCAGTCCCCCAGCGTGTGGGAAGTAGCTTTGCTAAACCAGAAGCCCCACGGTCCACAGAGAATGGCAAATGACACCTTCAGCGTGTCTCTTCCCGCACACCTCCATCCGTCCTTTGAAATATTTTCTCATGCTTTTCCTTCCTTCCTTTCTTTTTTTGCTTTATCTTTTGGAAAACGCTCTCATCATAGGATATATTTTTTTAAAGTACTTTCCAATTTCAGAAAATTTTTTCGTTTCATTTAATTGGTTAGCTGGTTTTTACACATTTATTGGAAAAAGTTAACAAACAAAAACAAATAGTAGCAAGGTGAAATTGAAGCTTCCCATGCATGGAAGTGCTGATGGGAAAGAGACAGTATAGGACAGAGAGAGGTACAAGTGTCAAGCAACGACAATAAATACAGCCACACACGGCATCAGAAAGGGTCGTGGTGCCGAGGGGAGCCGTGCCTCTTTCAAGCAAGGCTCGGGTCCTGATGATGCCTGCACCTGTTTAAGCCTGAGTAGTTCCCATTGACTTCACCTGGGATTTTCAAAAGGACCTAAAAGAGTGAAGTTCTTGTCTCAGACGATGGGCCAGATTTTCAAAGGTGCAGGTAGGCGCCTACTGGAACTTACAAAAAAGCCTCAGTAGCTTAGAAATCAATGGGCGTTCGGCAGTTATTTTAAACAGACACTTTTGCAAACCACACAAGATGCCTATCCGCGTCTTTAGGCACCTGAAAATCTGGCCCCAAGCTCTTGGGGTAGGGCCTGTCTTTTCTTATGTATTTGGACTGCACCCAGCACACCGGGGTCCTGCCTATGAGCAGGGCCCTCAGGTGAACTGCAATGCAAATATATGACAAATAATAATCATGAAAAGTGCCTACTGCTGATGGAAATTCAATGGTGGTGGGGGGGTGCTAACGTCTCTGGAAATCACAGCTTTCAGTGGGACTCCCCACGGAAGTAAAGCTACTCATGTGCCTGCGTGGTTGTAGGCTCGGGACCCTTCTGTCCTTGCTGCTCTGTGGCATTTGTGCTGCAGTCACACGGATGATCAAGGTGAGCAGGGATGGGTTTGTGCACCTCAGTATTGGTAAACCCTGCGGTTCATTCACTGCACTGTTGAAATCCCTAGCACTAAACATACGATTCATGATATTTTTTGGTTTAATGTTTTCAGGTCTGATGCTGCAAATGATAACTAGCTGGCACGGGGTCTGTCCCATTGGCAGGAGGCTTTCCAGTGACTTCAATGGGCTTTGGAGCAGGACCATTGTGATTATTACCATGAGCTTGCAATGGCTTGATGAGACCATCATGGTAATGACACTAAGCACAATGCTACCTAGCAGTTGTTTGGCAGGATCAGGCTCTTAGGGTGAAATTCACCCCTGTTCATAAAGGCTACAAACCACATAATGCCATGATTTAAACCCTGTTTTGAGGCTCTGAATAATGCCTCAACCTTGTGCTGGTGGGAATTTCACCCTTTGTTCTCCAAAGAACACTGTCAGATGACAAATATAAATGATAAAAAAAACAACAACAAAAGAGCAAATTCCTCATCCACGTCATTAACGATCCCCCCCCAGGAGAATCACTTCTGAAACCATTTTTTTACACGCTAAATGGCTTTTTGCCATTTACACAGTCGTTCACTTTTTGCATTTGACTCCTCTTGCACAATGGAACCACAGTGGTCAGTTTAAACTGTTGGGATTTTTTTTAGTCAGTTTCAATTCCTGGCTGTGAGGTTGGGTTGCAAAAACTGCAGGAAACTTTTAAGTTCTGCACAAAAAATCTGTTCTGGTAGAAATCACAAGAAAACCCAGGAAACATTTCTGTAAAACTTGAAACAAAATCTAAATTTGGGGGCTGAAACTCCCCGCCAGTGTCCCCGAGACAGAATATTTGTGGAGTCTCAGGCCCAGATCCTGCAAATACTTAGGCGTGTGCCTAATTATATTCATGTAAGTTGTCCCATTAAGGTCAGTAGGAACAACTGAGTACAGTTACCTGTGTGCCAGGGTCGGGGCCACTGTCATTGAAGAACAGGGACATAAAACTGCCCCATAATATCTATTAAAATCATTTTTAACATTTCAAAAGTTCTCTGCAATTTTTCCTAAAATAAACCATCTCCCCACCCTGGCAAATAACTGCAGCTCTTGCAGAACAAAATCAAGGCAAATATGCCCTGAAAATCCAGTGGACTGAGAGTCTGACACTGCCCTGATGTGTGACCATGGGCATGACAGTTGCCACGCTCTGTGCGTCTGTTTCCCCTCCCATCCTTTGTCTATTTAGATCATAAGCTCTCTGAGGCCAGCACTGTCCCTCATTATGGGTATGTACAGCACCTAGCATCATGGGGTCCTGATCTCAGTTGGTTGTTACCATAACACATATAATGATATATTATAAAACAGACAGTGATAGGGAGTAGTACTACCCCTTTAAGAGACAGTCTGGAGTTTACAGCCAAGAAAGGCTGGGCACAATCAAGGAGCACCCTGTCCCACCCTTGTGGCTTGGCTACATAAACAGGAAAAGGCAGCAGCTGGGCTGCTAAGAAAGAAAGGATCAGTAGCTATGTTGTCTGCTGCAGATCCCCAGGTCACTAGCCTGTCATGGGTCCTAGAAACTTTGCTATTTCTGCATGTAAGTCTGGTTGCCCTGAAGTAAGGGTCTTATGATTGTGGTTAAGTGGTTCCTCCCTGATCTGGTGCCTCGGGAAAAGGGAGAAAGCCTGCCTCCCTCCTACAACATTAAGGGTATGTCTGTGCTCCAGCCACTTCTGGTGCTGCTGCTGAAGTGTAGACTGAAGTCTACACTGGGGGTTAGGATGCCCTAACAGGTGCTCAGCGCTGTGACATTTTTCACAGCTCTGCATTGTGTAGCTTGGTTGACCTAACTTTTAAGTGTGGACTAGGACCTCTGGTGATGGGGGGGGGGGTGATTTGGAGGCTTTCTTAAAAGTTTTTTTGTTAGTTTGGTTTTGGCCTCCCCCCATTCTTGAATCCTGTGCAGACCTGAGAAGATCTGTTTGCTCAAAACAGCTGTGGCTTGTCCTTTAAAAAGTGCTCAGAGATAGAGAGGGAAACCTGTCAGCCAAATGAAACTTGGGAAGCTCTACAGTGCAGCCTGATCACTACCACCAGGTTAGCAACCCTTCCACTCTGTCTACTGCACCTCTTTGCCTTCTATGGCGTGTCTCTGACACTTAGATGGGAAGAGCCAGTGGTCAGCAATTGCCCATATCTCCATAAGGGAGAGCACAGGTCCTGATTCTGATTTTATACTGTTGTCAATTAGGAGCAGTCAGCGGACAAGTGGTGTAAGAGGAGATTTAGCCCCAGCCACCCAAGATGCTGCCTTGCATCTTGTCATAATTTGCACTTGAGTGGCACTTCCCCATCACTTGGCGTGGATGTAAATGATGAGACGCAGGTCAGGGCAAGGGCAAGGGCGAATCAGGCCCTACACTTCCCAAGTCTAATCTCCACTACATTTTGCATTCAAAACTTCCTCCCTTTATTTATCAACATGTCCCATCCCAGATTTAGTTCAGCCTCTAAATACTGCCGCTGGGGTGTGTGTGAGGCACCTCTGCCTGCCACCTGAACGGTTGTCACCAAGTCTTTGAAACCCAATTCCTCCAGAGAAACAACCAGCCATTAAAATGCAGGAGAAGCAAGATATTCTTCTGTTTCTGCTACAGTGTGGGCAGGAACAGCAGAGCTATACTTTGACTCAGGTGGGCCTGGCTGCTGAGGAGAAGTGGGTTTGGAGGGTAGCTTGGGAGTCCGCCTTGGAGTTGTTTTGCCTGTTCCCTGCTTTATAGCTCTGGTGCAGCTCATAATGCAGGAGACAAGGGGTGTAGCTGTGTGGAAGCAGTCAGAGACCACAGTGATCTGTGAACCACTGTTCCAGGTAGTAACACTGCCCCTGCAGCCTGTACAATGATACTGACAGTGATCGGATTAGGGATGGACAATGCTTTTAGTACGATAGACAGGCAGAAAGATCCCACAGATTCCCATCCATTGGGCAGCAGGAGAGTGGCTGATTGCAGGGAAATGCCTCATGCTCTGTCAGAGTTCTAGCTGCAGGAGGAGAGGATCAGGTCAACATGTGGGTCCTGAGGCATCAGGGAAATAGAGGGAATGGCTTATTGAGAGGGGGAGGAAACTTAATGGAGGGGTTAAAGGGCCCCTCTTCCTCTCCTTGCTCCTGGTGGAGCACACGTGACCTTGGCAGCAATAACTGGTGCTGCAGCCTAACTGAGACCCGACCCAGGAGTTAGTGGTCATCTCTGAAGAAGGGATGGTCCTCGCTTATCACCTTGCAGACCATGATCGCAAACTGGTTTTGCGCATGTAAAGAGCTGCTTGAGGGGTGGCCTGGTCCAGGGGGTAGGACATTGACCTAGGATGCAGGAAACCTGGATTCTATTACCTGGTGTGTCTCCTATTTAAACTGTAAGCTCTTTGGGGCAGGGACTTTCTTACTACATGCTAGTTTAGCACCCAGCACAATGGCGCTTGGACCTTGATTTGGGGCCTCTAGGTTTTACTGAAATAAAACAAAAATACCTTTGCAACGTCTTATTTACACTAGAGTGAAAAAACAATCGGGCCCCCTGAAAGGAGCTCAACCTTTTGTCTAATTAATCAGATCCCCTGCCTACTCCAGACTGGATGCTCCGTTGAAGTCCGTGGAGCTACCCCAGTGAAAGGGGAACCAGAACCTTAATTATTAGGCCCCAGTGCATGAAAGCATTTAAAGCATGTGCTTAGGACTGCCCTTCTCCAGGACAGCACTTAAGGGTGTGTTTAAATCCTACAGACTTCAAAGAGACTTTAGCAAGTGTTTAAAGTTGAGCATCTGCTTACATGCTGTCCTGAAGCAGGACACTTTCCTGAACCTGGGCCATAAGTTGTAGCCATTTGGAATTATCAGTGTATTAAGATTTCTGCCCCTCGGGTCTGAGAATATCAAACCTGGTGTCAATACATAAATTAGCTCGTCGTTTCCAACAGAATCCAAGTTTCCTTGGATAACTGATAAAATCAGGAATGTTAACTCTAGCTAAATCCTTACAAAAATACAAAATAAATAGGTCTATAGAAGAGAGGTTGGGGCTCACATCCCCCCAGTCTCCAAGAAGGCTCAGAGCATTGCTTGTACGTTTCATGTGAGCTTTTCCAACAGAGGTCTCTGCAGTATACGGCTGATCATTCTAAAGAGCAGTCCCCACCACCTAACACCAAAGCCGAACATGGTGGGGTGTTATTTCAGGCGTGCCCCCTCCCACTGCCCAAATGTTCTAGGTCCAGCTCTTAACCAGGGGTGCCCAACTCCAATGGATGCTCGAGGTTCCTGGACCCAGTTCCAGGTGCTGGTATGAGTGGCAGAAATGCAGGAGCCAAGCTTAGGTGCCCATATTTGATAAGTGGACACCCCACATGTGTTCATCCTTCATAACCGGCATGGAAAAAGGCAAAAGGATGTCGGAGTTTTTGAACGGGCATTTGCAAATGTCTTGCAGGAAGGATTGCCATGAGGAGGGAAGCAATCTATCATCTAAAGAACTCCTGGGGTCTGATTCTCCACCGCGTTGCACCCTGTGCCCTTCCCACGCTACATCAGAACAGGAACGTTCCACACCTACTCTGCACAGATGTGTCTGCACAACATGGGGGGAATCAGGCCCAATGCTTCCTCCTCCCAATCCATCCACCCTCTAGTCATTTATTCTTTATCATGTATCCATTCTGGCAAAGGTGCAAGGATTATACACAGACCAAGATCTGGAATGGGAAATGCAAGCATGTCCTTTATCAGCCATGCTTCTTGCATATCGTTTGCAACAACCCTTGAATAACTGACCTTTGCATCATACAAATGGGATCCTTGCACTTCTGCCTATAGGAGCAATCCTAGCTAGGATTCATTGGTCAATGAAGTTAGACCAGGAATGAATTTCCTGGCTAGATCTTTACACTCCAAAGTCACAGCATATCCCCGGTGTTCAGCTGAGAAACCAAAAGATAGCATAGAGGAGCCCATACCACCTTCTAGGTGTCAAAGCCCAAGAAACAAGGGGAGAGACAATGCAGGCGTTTTCCTTTAACAGACAAAGGTGACTGGCTGTTCACCAAATTAGGACAATCCCTCCTTCCAAGCACTCAATCCTGCATTCCGTGCCACACCACCACATCCACTGACTTCTTTAGTACACCTGTAGAATTTCTGGCTGTGTCAGGAAAGCAGGAATGAGCCTCAAAGATACGAAAGGCCAAATTCTCTGTGACTGTAAACTGGAGCTAAACCCAGTTGCAACAGGAGAGGATGTGATTGTGTGTGTGTGTATGTATACATACACACACGCACATAAATATGAAACCATTCAAGAAACTTTTGAGACAACATGCTCTGTCTTCTTTAGCAACATGGAGGCTGTGATAGCAGCTGCATTTTACCCCCACGCTCGATTCACAAATGGAAACAGAACCTCGAAATAAATTAAAACATGCGCACAACACTTTGCGTAGATCGTAAATTTCATAGGTGCAATGTTGGAAGGTCCACGTGTCCCTGAAGAGATCAAACAAAAGCCAAAGTAGGAAAAAAACTAACGCCAACCCACTGTGTTTCACCTGTGCCAGAAGTGTATGTGTTTTCTGATCAGAACCAGAACTGGTATCCGCTGGCCGTACGCCAATGATCAGCTGTGCAAAGGAAGCCATCCTAATAATAAATAGCAACCCCAATTCTGTGTTCAGCTTGTCAGCTGTTTGGTAACAATGGGAATGAACAAGCGTCTGGTCTGGAGAAGCTGGTGTGATGTGTACATTCTGTTTCATCAAATATGCAAGCTCTCCCAGGAGCAGAAACATTAGAATATTCACTTTGAGCACCACTTCTTCCTTTTGCTATTGATTTCTTTATTGCATCCCAGGTATGAGCTTTTCACCAGCCTTGTCTTTAAGAAAAAACTTCTCCTCTCGCTAGAGAAAGTTTCCCGGTGGCTGGGTTCAAAGGCAAACTCTGCTCTGGATACAAAGCTTTTAAATTACAGTCCCGGTAGCAGCTGGCATGTAAAGAAAGCCTCGTGCCCAGAGACTATTATGATAATGTCATTAAAAACAAACAAACAAACTAAGAACATGCCAGTTACAGGCTTCTTCCAAACTCTCCATCGCTCTCCCCATCCTCAACTCCCAGGGCTTCGCGGAGGAGTGAACAATTCTGGCACAACAGCCCACATGTGCTCCTGGCCACAATGAGGATGCAGGATGTGAATACGGATGGGTGCAGGGGGTGGGAAACCAGGCTGAACCGAATGAATGAAGACATTTTATGGAAGGCTCCAGTTTCTCCCCCACCCGCCAATCCCTTTCCTGTTTTCTCAGTAGGAAAATGGAATGCTGCCCCCAGGGAATCAGCTGGGGAGCAAAACATGCGCCAGGAAGTAAGCGATGGAGTCCCAGTGCTTCCAGAGGAGGAAGAGGAAGAGGAGCAGCAGGGTGGTGCTGAGGATGCGCATGCGGGTCTTCATGAGGGGCGTGATGAAGTTGGCGATGGTGGAGACGAAGACGAGCAGCACTGCCATGAGGGCCAGGATGACGTTGATGAATTTGCCTAGCAGGGCCCGGGCATTGGCGTTCTCCACCCCTTCCAGCTGCACCACCTGCTGCTGCTGCTGCTGGAGCTCCAGCTTGGTGACGCGGGTGAGGCACGACTCCACCGCTTCCTGCAGAGGTAGACGTGAACCACGGTTAGTTTGGCCGCAGGGTAGGACACCACAGCGTAGCGGCTACACCGCTACGTAGAGAGTGCTGTCTGGTGGTTAGAACCAGGACTCCTGAGTTCTGTGCCTGTCTCTGTGAGGGAGGGGAGGCTGGTGGGTTAGAGCTGGGGACTGGGGAGCCAGGACTCCTGGGTTCCGTGCCTGTCTCCGTGAGGGAGGGGAGGTTGGTGGGGTAGAGCCAGGGACTGGGAAGCCAGGATGCTTGGGTTCGGTACCCAACTCAGGGAGGAAGTGTAGGTGAGAGTGCAGCGCTCCTTGTTTCTGTTCCTGGCTGTGACACTTTGGGACAAGATGCTTAAACAATGCTGGGTGCCTCAGTACACCCACCCGGAATAGGGGAGTGTTATTCACCTACCTAAGGTAGGTTGCAAAAACAAAAGGAGTACTTGTGGCACCTTAGAGACTAACCAATTTATATGCTCAAATAAATTGGTTAATCTGTAAGGTGCCACAAGTACTCCTTTTCTTTTTGCGAATACAGACTAACACGGCTGTTACTTTGAAACCTAAGGTAGGTTGTCAGGCTCAATTAACATTTGCAAAGTGCTTTGAGATCTGCTGAGCTATCGCTGTGCAAAGTAGGGTTATTATTAGGGTTCTGCCCTGATAATCTTGTACCATTGAAAGCATCACCCCGAAGAGCCTTACAATGAAGGCGTATGATAGTCAGAAACAAACATGTTGCAAAGACTCCATTTTGGGATCCCTGGTTGACGGGATTCTTGTGCACATGGCACAAAACTTTCCTCAAAACCTTCCCCACCTGCATCCACGCGAACCCGCTATTCTGAGCGTTAAACAGAGGTATCAGAGAAAGGGGAAGTATATAGTATGCACTATGCATTGGGGGGAGGGCAGAGATACAGCTATATCTGCCCACACGTGCCTGGTGAAGAAGGTGCAATGCATGTAAGGAAAGCACAGAGCTTTTCCATTGCTTTGCAGATTTGCATTTTGCTTGGTTTGTTCTTAATTCACTTGAAATGTATTTGCTTCCCTTCCACGATACATGTGCTATTTTTTCCAAAGGCCAAATAAAACCTGAGCATCAAATATAGTCAATTCCACTGGGAAGTTCCCCCAATTGCCACGTGAGGGCAGAACAGTCCTCTGCAGACTGTGCTGAACAGCGACAGTCAAATCCACCCACTGGGGGCCTCTGATAAATGGCCCGTATATTATTGACACCCGAAAGGCGACAATGCAAAGGGCGGTGCGATGTGACAGTCCTAACGGAGCACTTTTGATCAGTCCTACGTACTGGGTGCAATACAAAAACCCCGACAGGTAGACAGACGGATTGACAGAGACATAGATTTCAATGGTCTAGCTGGTGCTGTCCGTAAGACCCCAGCAGCCCCGTTTTCAGAGGTGCTCCAGAGAGACGTTGGCAGCTGAGCACCTCTGGAAACCAGAACAAAGCAGGGAGCTGGCATCTGCTCCCATAGGTTTTAACAGGAATGTTGTATGTAAGACATGAGAGGTAATTGTCCCATTCTACTTGTCAATAATGAGGCCTCAGCTGGAGTGCTGTGTCCAGTTCTGGGTGCTACACTTGATGTGGACAAACTGGAGAGAATCCAGAGGAGAGCAACACAAATAATCAAAGGTTTAGAAAACTTGACCTACGAGGAAAGCACGCTTAGTCTTCAGAAAAGAAAACTGAGCCGGGACCTGATCAGTCTTCAAATATGCTAAGGGTTGTTATAAAGGGGATGGTGATCAATTGTTCTCCACGGCCACTGAAGGTGGGACAAGAGGTAATGGGCTTATACTGTAGCAAGGAAGATTTAGGTTAGATATTAGGAAAAGCTTCCTAACTCTCAGGGTAGTTAAGCTCTGGAACAGGCTTCCATGGGAGGTTGTGGAATCCCCAACATTGGTGGTTTTAAAGAACAGGTTGGACAAACACCTGTCAGGGATGGTTTAGGTTTACTTGGTCCTGCTTCAGCACAGGGGGCTGGACTAGATGGCCTCTGGAGGTCCCTTGCAGCCCTACATTTCTGTGACTCCATGGTCCCTGCAATGAGCCCCTCTGCTCACCTCAGGCTGCTTCTCTGCCCTGCTGCTAAGTGAGTGACTCAGACCTTTGCACTGTTCCCAGAAACATCCTGTGTTTACCTCTTGTTTAAAGTGAATTTAGTTCACTAGGAACTGGACACATTCCAGGCACACATTCCATGCGGGCCACGGAACAGCCCTCAGTAGTCCATCACTAGTCCCCAGAGCCATGCAGCTCTCTACCGGACTAAGAGTCTCGGAGGGTCATGGCTAAATTGTCCCACTGCTGTCTCTTCTAGGCTCTCTGCCTCTGAACAGCGTATCCCAGCAAATGACTGCTTTGGAAGGTGGTAGCTCATTCCTTAAAAGGGAATTCCTTCCCCTCCATCTTTCAGGTACTAGCCCCACACTTCCCCCCGAGGCACGTAGTGTCCCTTCTCCCATTGCAGAAATCTGCGCGCCCCCCGCCCCCTGCCCCTTTCCTATCTCATCTGCAAAAAGATGCCAGTTCAGCTGAGTAAGGATGGTGGCGTGGCCTCTCTGGGTTCCCATACCTGGATGTCCCTAGCTCTCTCATAGGACTGATAGGCCACCTTCTCCTCCATGCTGGCTAGCTCCTGCTTCAGGTTGGTCATTTCATTCTGGTGGAGCTCCGTCAGGTCATTCAGCTGCTCTTCCAGGCGTTCGTATCTGCGCGGGGGGAGAAGGTGCATGGGGAAGGTGTGAATGCTGGCAGCCGGGTTATTACATTTGATTCATCTTTCTCCTACCATGCAAGGAGAACAGCAGGGTAACAGTCTGTTTCCATCAAATTGAGATTCTATTAACTCCAGTTCCCCCCAGCGCAAACCTCACTGGCGCCCCAGATATCTAGCATACAGAGGTGACTTGGATGACATGGAAATGACTTTGTGTATCAAGCAATTGAGGCACTCCACACAGCAATGACACCATGGCACCTAAAACAAATAGGACAGGTTCCAGTGCTGCCTGGAGTCAACAAATGGACACTTTGAAGGATGCAAATTAGAAGCAGACAGAGGGGGCTGTGTGCATGCAGCGATTGATAATGTGGAGTTTATTTCATCTCTCTTCTGTTTTGTCTCTAGGATGTCTGGTTTGTGCCGCACTCCCCGAGGAGCTGGTCTCGCTCTCAGAAGCAGCCACCTCGGATTCTCCAGAACTCCCTTAGCCGTGGAAGGAACTCAAATGGCCCTGAAACCACAGGTCAGCGGAGCTTCAGAATCTCCTGGTTACACAGCTCCTAAGCCTCTCCTGTGCCTCCCTCTCTGAGATGAAATGTGTTGGAAGGGCACCTTGTGTCTAATGGGGTGGGGGAAGTGAACCTTCCACCCCATCTTATCCACAGCAGTACAAACAGAGCCCAGTGCCTTAGCCCTGATCTCTAAGGGTGAGAGGACAGCTCAGCTGCCTTTGTCACCTGTTCAGTCCTTGGACTTTGTGTCAAGACTGCCATCCAAGTGCACACGACAGGGGTGGCTGCCACTTGAGCTGCACTCCCACTTCGCTTCATATAGGCCACCAGATGGTAATGGCTTTCCTCCTGAACCTGAGCCCCTAAGCCGCATTCAAACCAGCACACTCTAGTCAATGAGAAAGGCTCTGTGACCCTTACCCCCAGTCCCCTTTGTTGGAGGGGGGAGGAAGGAAGGGAGGGGAGTTTCTTTGGCCACTTAGGACTATCTGGATTTGGGAACACGGTGTTTTATTTCCATCTCGTCTGACACTCGCAAGGATATTTCAGGACATTTTCCAGCTTCCGAGAAGGGCTTGGAAGACCCTTCAAATAGCAGGGCTGGGGGGAAAAAGGAACCCCAATGACATCACAAGCCGGCTCGCAGTTGGAGAAGTATTTTTAAACAGGGTTTCAACTTTTGTCCTCAGCCAAAATGATCTAAAATAAAGCAAGCCCAAGCCAATGCCCCCTTTGGAGGCTGGTCCTTGTTTCCCGTTCCCAAGAGTTGAGGGGGCTGGCACTGCCTGTCAAGCATTTCCTCTGGCCTCTTATAAATAGCAAAGAGCCGTTTTTCTCAGGGTGATTGGCAGAGGGGAAGCATCATGGGATTCCTTCAGGGCTACGGGCGGCTGGGAGGTCCTACAGCTAAACAAACGAGCAGAGCCTGGCTCGTCAATGTGGAGGCCACACGCAGCTTGCTGGGCTCAGTGTAACAAATCCTGGTTCCTTTCCCTAATGGGAACAGAATCCCACGCTTCCTCTTCCCATGGAAAACAGAACGCTCAGGTACTGCAGAACCTTTCCCCCCTAGATTTGCCCTTTTGAATGGCTCGGCTTTATATCTCATTGCCTAAGCCAGTGGTTCTCAGCCTTGTTATTGATCTGTGACCCACAAAATGGCCAATAGACCATCCCAGGATCTACCTTATTCCAGAATTCTTTGTAGCTGGGTTTGTGGGTTTAAACTATAGTGCCCTCCCCCCCATTAGTAAAATATATTGGAATTTACAACCCCCTAAAAAGCCAAGTGCGCTCAGTAACACCCAATTTTTGTTTCTTCAAAGACACTGTCAAGGTGTGTGGCATCATTGCGGTAAATCAGTTACTTTCCATATTGGGAAGCTTGAAACGTGAATCTACTTCCTTACCAATATCCTCATCCACTGTGCACCCACATTTATTTGTTATTGTTGTTCAAGCATGCACAGCGGCTTGTTATTGTAGGGTTGCTTCTGGGGGCCAGGCTGCATACACGGCTTTGTTACTGTGGAGTTGCTCAGGGGGTGCACTGGAGCTGCGCACAGTGGTTTGTTATTGTAGGGCTGCTCCTGAGCAGGGTGGCAGTGGGCGTTGAAGGCATTTGCTTTAACTGAACAGCTCTGCACAACGAATTGCAAAGAACTACATATAAAATAGCAATGCTATGAAGGGCCAATGGAGATGCAGGCCCACTGGTGTGAGCCACGTAGGAACAGCCTTGCAGAGACAGGGAGATGGCACCCATGCACTGGGGCTGGCCCTACCTGTACCGCTCCTCTTGCAAGCACTGCGTCATGTAGGTATAGTCCCTCTGCAGCTGCGCCTTGAGATCCTCCATTGAGTCCTCCAGGTGCGACTGACTGTCCTTAATCTCCCGGAGCTCCTCCAGGATGGTGTCAAAGTTATTGTGGTGACTGTCCAGGGTATTGGACTTTGGGCTCCCCAAGCCGCCGGGCCCTGCCCCTGAGTTGCTGCCCCCCGCCGATCCCGAGGTGGCGCTGGAGCACTCGTCATCGCTGCCGTACTTGGGGCTGGACACCAGGGTGACGCTGCCGCTCAGAGTCCTCGAGGCCTCCTCGGGGTGCCCGTCATCCAGAGCGTCCTTCAGGTGGGCGATGTTGTCGGCGCTGCCAAACTTGTTCCGGATCAGGCTAGCAAACTCCCGGGGCTTGGAGACCACAGCCGTGTGGGTGGCCTGGGACAAACCCGACAGGCTTCCCTTGACGCCTTCCACTACCCCACCTCCGAAGCCGCTGATGCTGGACCGGACATTGGCCCCCACATCCTTGAGGCCCTGGTGCATGTCCCGAAACACATCCTTGGGCTGTCGGGAGAGCCCGTTCTGTTCAATCTCCTTTAGCTTCTTGTGGTAGTGCTCAAGCTTCTTATGGAGCTGGGCGATGGTCTGGGCCGACTTCTGGTTCTTCTTCTCAAAGACTTGCTTGATGCGGGAGGCCTGCTGCTTGTCGGCGTTGTTGGCCAGCTTCAGGTACTCAGCTACGTTGTCGTCCCGAGCCTCCTGCTCGATCTTGATCTGCTCGGTGATCTTGAGGATTTTCTGGTGCAGGTGGTCGATGGCTGCTTTCGTCCTGTGCGGGTCTGGGGTGCCATCTGGGACATCCAAGCAGATGTTGCCGACGTCGGAGTCGCTGTGGCTGGCATTGGAAGGCAGGCTAAGCGTGCTCACGTCTCCTTTGTCCAGCTGGGAGCAAAGAGAAAGAAGAAGTCTGAATAGAGGGGTCTAAAAACAATACACCCAGGGAATGGGGGGAGCCTCAGGTTCCACAGCAATGAACAAACAGGGACAGAGAAAGAAGAGAGACAGACAGAAGCAGGTTGGTTCCTGGTAGATGTTTCCCATCAGTAACACCATTACCTGCACCATTTGTAGAAGCCAGTGAGCAGATGCAGCAACAAAACTGTTGCATTGGGTACCCTTAGGGCAGATAGGCTATTGTTTGAGTAAACTTCTGCTCTAAGGTCACCTGCACAGGGCAGCTTGCCTCTGACATTTTACACTCGTTCAGTGCAAGGATAGCGTGTTAGACGCTCCGGTGTTTTACTAGATTTGCAAATCCAAACCATCTGGGGAAAATATCATTGAAAAAAGTTATAAGTTTGGAAGCATTTCAGGTTCTAACATCTTGTACTCAGGATCTGTCTCCTCTCATCACAGACAAGTTACTGCTTTGTGAGTTCTAACAAGGCTTAGCACAACTTCCTCCCAAGCTGCAAAGGTGAGGAAGTAACATTTTCTCCACTTTCCAGATGAGGAAATGGACGCTTCGAGAGGGGCAGTGACTTGGCCTGAAGCCATTCAGTGAGTCAGTTTTCCCCCTGTAGCACCTGGCATTGGCCACTGTCAGAACACAGGATACGGTCTGACCCAGTGTGGCCATTCTGATATTCTTAATCAGCTGTAGAGTTACGAATTGAACCCAGGAGCCCTGGCTTACGTTGCTTTGCCACACCCGCTGAATCAGACTGCTTGAGTGGGGAAGACTAGGAAACTGAAACCAATGGTCAAATCTGCCACCAAAACAGGAGCACATGCAGAGATTCAGGAACCAGCCTGTATTTTGGCCTCTTTTTTTCAGGCTTTGGTTTCTAGAGCACAGACAAATGCCCCGGATTTTCACAAACAGGAAAGAGAAACCCAGGCGTGACCTGGATTTACAAATGGGGAAGAGACTGTTCCTTCTAATACTGCGATATCAGAAGGCTGAAAACACATTAACCCCCTTCCCCATCCCAGTGACACCTTGTCTTCTGCAAGAGGATTCCAGATCCCTTTACAAACATTTTCAATCCCTCACGTTCCGTCCCGCAGGGAGGGACAGGAGTGCTTTAACTTACATTTTACAGACAGACAGCCTGAGGCATAGAGAGGGGACGTGACTAGCCACAGGCCACACAAAAATGTCGCGGGTAAAGCCAGGAATAGAAACCAGGCCTGTCTCCCTATGCCCAGTTTGAAATGCCTAAAGCACACTGCCTTCCCATTTGAAAACCACACATTTTCCAGTGGCTGAGTTTTCTATGCAAACTGTTATGCAAATCTAGGTGATACATAAATGGTTTGTGGCTTCTAATGAAGAGTTGGCGAACAGTTAAATATTGTTGGCAGACATGGCCTGATTTCTAATTTCCATCACATTTTCACAGAATGACCCTTTAGTACAGTATAATTTTGATAGATTGTTACTTTGGAATACATTATCCCCAGGGAGCATCTTGCACAGGAGGAGTGGCGCATTCTCCAGAGACTGCACGTAAAGGTTTAATAAGTGACGTGTCCTAGGTGTGGATGAGACAAGCACAGATTTCATTACTAGGAAGGGATTTGCCTCTGTTGTTCACTGTTGATTCTCCTCTCCTCCATGGGTTGCTATTATATTAACCATATGGAACCCCCTATTAATGACATCAATGGAAGCAGAATCAGGCCTTTAGACAAATAAGCTTCTGGACACAGTGATCTTGTCTTCCTAGATGTCTGTGATGTCTCATGAGCACCTACAGTGCTATAAAAATAATAGGGAGTCTGATCTTGCATGGAACACCATTGACTTCAATGGAAGTTCAGCGTGCAGAGGGCGCAGAAGATCATGCCCAGGAGGTGATCTGCACTGTTCTGTTGCATGCTTTACTCCCCAGGCTGCAGTGGTCCATCCACGCAGTGACCAGCCAGTCCTTCTGTTGGGTCCATGCATGGCTCCTGGCAGCCAGCGCTACTACGTAAAGGTAGCGGGGGCTTGCGGTGGGATGTGCAGCATGTGGATCCTTCTAGGGAACTCGAAGGGCACTTCTGGAGACCAAAGGACGGAGAACATTAAGGGCCCATCCATGCTGGGGAGAGTTGTAGCAGTGCAGTACCTACGCTGGTGCAAACCCCCAGCGCAAAGGCATTGTGTCAAATTCGGGGCTTGCATTCGTGCAAATTTTCCTGTTTAACCCTGGTGCAGCACATCTACACTGGGGCTTTGCACCAGTACAGACAGGCCCTACGCTGAGGATTGAGATGATCTTTCACAATACATAGCATAAAGCGTTTTCTTTAAGATCAGACATGTTCCTTCTTCAGGCCTTGCCCCCATCCGTGGCCAAGAGAGAGATTACAAATGTGTGGAGGGAGGGGGGAACAGCTAATTCCCCTTTTTGGGGTGTTATAAAGACCCTGATTTCTAAAGATATTGTTAATATCTGCAAAGACCTTTGAAGATGCAGAGAAAGCCTTTGTCCCCTGCTGGTATGTTTTGCAAAGCGTTGGTGCTTGGCCAGTAATAACATCATGCCATAATTGTTATATACGGTAATAGACTAGGAGCAAGAATGTCTTTGAATTACAAACTGTTTGCCACAGGATTGAAAGCCACCTGCTGCAATATACTCTGGAGGTAGTTTTACTGTGTTTTTTTTAAATTTCTGAGTGCAATCCTAGCCACAGTGAAGTCAGTGGGAGTTTTGCCACCTACTTCCAGGGGGCCAGGATAGAATCATAGAACTGGAAGGGACCTCGAGAGGTCATCTAGTCTAGTCCCCTGCACTCAAAGCAGGACTAAATATTATCTAGACCATCTCTGATGGGTGTTTCTCCAACCTGCTCTTAAAAATCCCCAATGATGAAGATTCCACCACCTCCCGAGGCAATTTATTTCCAGTGCTTAACCACCCTGACAGTTATGAAGTTTTTCCTAATGTCCAACCTAAACTGCCCTGGCTGCAGTTTAAGCCCATTGCTTCTTCTCCTATCCTCAGAGGTTAAGAAGAACAATTTTTCTCCCTCCTCCTTGTAACAGCCTTTTACATACTTGAAAACTGTTATCATGTCCCCTCTCAGTCTTCTCTTCTCCAGACTAAACAAACCCAATTTTTTCAATCTTCCCTCACAGGTCACGTTTTCTAGACCTTTAATTATTTTTGTTGCTCTTCCCTGGACTTTCTCCAATTTGTCCACATTTGTCGTGAAATGTGGCACCCAGAACTGGACACAATACTCCAGTTGAGGCCTAATCAGCAAGGAGTAGAGCGGAAGAATTACTTCTTGTGTCTTGCTTACAATACTCCTGCTAATACATCCCAGAATGATGTATGCTTTTTTTTTTTTTTTTTTTTGCGCAGCAGTGTTACACTGTTGACTCATATTTAGCTTGTGATCCACTATGACCCCCCAGATCCCTTTCCACAGTACTCCTTCCTACGCAGTCATTGCCCATTTTCTGTGTGTTCAATTGATTGTTCCTTCCTAAGTGGAGTACTTTGCATTTATCCTTATTGAATTTCATCCTATTTACTTCAGACCATTTCTCCAGTTTGTCCAGATCATTTTGAATTTTAATCCTATCCTCCAAAGCACGTGCAACCCCTCCCACCTTGGTATGGTCCACAAACTTTATAATGTACTCTCTGTGCCATTATCTAAATCAGTATTTCCCAAACTAGGGCCGCTGCTTGTTCAGGGAAAGCCCCTGGCGGGCCGGGCCGGTTTGTTTACCAGCCGCGTCCGCAGGTTCGTCCGATCGCGGCTCCCACTGGGCGCGGTTCGCTGTGTCCGGCCAATGGGGGCTGCGGAAAGCAGTGGCCAGTACATCCCTCAGCCCGCACCGCTTCCCGCAGCCCACATCGGCCTGGAGCAGCGAACCGCGCCCAGAGGGAGCCGCAATCGGCCAAACCCGCGGACGCGGCAGGTCAACAAACCAGCCTGGCCCGCCAGGGGCTTTCCCTGAACAAGCAGCGGCCCTAGTTTGGAAAACACTGCTCTAAATCATTGATGAAGAGATTGAACAGAACCGGACCCAGAACCGATCCCTGCGGACCCCACTCATTATGCCCTTCCAGCATGACTGTGATCCCCTGATAACTACTCTCTGGGAATGATTTTCCAACCAGTTATGCACCCACCTTATAGATTTTCCAGCCAGTTATACACCCACCCTTTGCCTTCCTTTTTCACGAGACTTCCCGATGCCCCGTTAGCTGACCAGCTGTGTATTATGCTCACACTGAGAGACCCTCAACCAAGGTCAGGGCCACATTGTGCAAGGTGCTGTACAGACATGAAGCAAGAAGCAGCCCTGCCCCCAAAAGCTAACAAAGGAAGGACTGTTACCCCGTTTCACAGACCGAAATAAGTGACTAGAACAAGGTCCCATAGAGAGTCTGTAGCAGAGCCAGGAACTGAAACCAGGTCTCCAGTCTGGTGTCTTAACCATATACCCATTCTTCCTCTGTCATTCACCTCTCTCCCTACAAACAGAATAAGAAACCTCCTTCTGGGCATGGCCCTTAGAGGAGCTCAGAATGCCTGGTACTTGGCACACCTCAGGATCACACCCAACCCCCTCAGCCTTTTGCTGCTGGCAGTTTCTCATTCAAGCCACACAGATCAGCATTTACATGGTACCTTCCATTTTTCATCTGGATCCACCAACCTCTTCCGTCTCATGGTAGTTCAATCCTCATGGCTGAGCAGCGTGGAGAATCCAGCTAAGCAAGAGCAGCAAGGAAATACAGTCTGGGGTTTGTAAATGATGTCAGCAACTCATCCAGGCAATTATCGCTTTGTTTCAGATGCCTTACTTTACATTGGGGCAGGGAGAAGAAAGACACGGGAACAAAACTCAACCCATACGCAACCCTGGAGAGAGTTGCAAACTTGCTTCATCCTTATTTAGATCAGCAAATTTTAAAAAAACCCTTGTA